AAATTTTAAAAGTGGTGTGAAAGGAAAAATTTTGATAAATTGATGAAGTTCCAAAAGAAATTGTTGATGGCTCTATTGTAGTAAAAGGGTAAAAAATGAGAACAAAAATAAACGAATTAACTCAAAAGTAACTATCCCAATTTATTTTTTCTGACAATATAACTTACACCAATGCACAGCACCCACCTTCATTATTTTTATCCCAAGGGTTCGAGTCTTTGAACTCAGGACTGAATGGGTCTACTTTACTTTTTGTAAAGTTAACTAAATCTGAGCACGCTTCACTAACTTTCATTAAGTTCTTTGATCTCTCGAAGTTTTTCATTAGTCGTTCTTTCTCTTGTAATAATCTAGTTAACTGTTGTTGGGACATAAGTTCCCTATTTTTTTAAATTTTTAGTTCTTCATTCTTATTTTTATATTTTCTTTTCTATAAAAATAGTTGAATATTTTTTGATTTTTTTATCACTTCTTTTCCATTTTAATTTTTAAAAACCGATAAGAAAATATTTTCTTTTTTTTAGTTCCTCCAATTTGTGAGAATGAACGAAGAAGATAGAGTCTCAATAATATGTAGTTATTATGTTGAATTTCAGGTTAGTTCTGTCAATTATAAAACAACTTTTGCCTCTGGTCAGGTCAATGATGTAAAAGAGTATATGCAATTTGTTTACCCAGAGTTAAATAAATTAAACTATGAAGGAATTAGTGGTATTCCTGCCAAAGTATTTTCATGTATTCGAACTACTCTTGAACATGAATATGAGTATTGTTATTATTTAAGATATACAACAACTACTCCTAAAGTTATTATTATTGTTACAAAGGAATATAATACTTTTTTCTTAGATTTGTTGAGGGCAATGTTAAATACAAAAGAATTTTTAAATCCTCCATTAATTCTTCAGCGATGTATGACATTAACAAACAGAGAACTTAAAAAATCATTTATTACATTAGGTAACTTCCAAGTAACTAACAAACAACCAAATTATATTATTGAAACAATTAAAGCATTTGGAGTTAATACCTTCGTTGATATTGTGTTTAAGATGCTTCTTGAAGAACGATTTATTTTTCACAGCTGTACTCCAGAAACTATTCACCCAACTATTCAAGCCTTTCTTAGTGTTCTCCAACCTTTTGTATGGCAACATATTTTAATTCCAATATTACCTCTTTTTCTTTCATCCTATTTAAGTTCAATACTTCCATGTATAATTGGATGTACACGCGGTACTTATGCTAATTTTATGATGGAATTTGGTGAAGATGATGATGTACATGTTATAGATATTGATAAACACCAAGAGGTTTCACGATGTATTCGAGAGAATTATTTAGTTAATACACCAATGGGAATTTTTATGGCAAGACTAGATTTTATTATTGCTAATGAACAAGAGTTTAATGATGAAGATGTAGTTAAATTGTTTAAACAATTGTATAAGTTAATGTTGGAGAGACATAGTCATTTTTTCAAAAAGAGTGAATCTAAGTTTGAGTTTGCCCAAGAAATGTTTTTATCAAGTACCTCTTCTTTTAAGGAATTCTTGAAACACTTTAGTCAATCTCAAATGTTCTTTCAATTTATAGAAGAAGAAACAAACAGATTAAATCATAATCTTCCAATATCACCAATAATAAATGAAACATTCACTGTTAGATATAGAAAGCTACAAGACATTAGTTCAATACAAAGAAGGTGTGGGAGATGTCTTGAGGAGATAGTTAAAGAAGACCCTGTTTTTCAATATCAAGACAATTCAGTCCATCACAGACAATGTGCAAGATGTATTATTTGTAATAAATTCAGTGATAGAAAGAAATGTTTATTATGTGGAGGTATTAATGAACCAATAACTAAACAAGATATTAGTCTTGCATATAAACATGCTCTACAAAAACAATATGATAAACAAAAGAAAATCAGCGAATCTTTTATTACAAACGAACCAATAGATGAAAATGATTTGAAATATGAATTTGTTGAAACTTTCCAACGTTCAATGAAAAATTCAATTAAGAAATTGATTGTGCTCAGTCCAAATGAACGAACAAAAGAACAAAAGAAAGTAGCTTCAACACCACAAGAAACACCTAAACATGGAGAGGTATTTAATTGTTCTACTGATTCACCTATATACATATCTAATGAACAACTAAAACCACAACCCTCAACACCTCAGTCATCTTCTGTAGCACGAACATCACATAATTATCATCCATTACCACCAACTCCTCCAAAACCAACTCCAAAACAACAAAACTATCCAATACCACCACCTCAAGATGAGATTGTTTTTTCTAAACCACCAACTCTTCCTCCAAGAAGAAGTGCTTCAACAACCCAAACAATACCAACAGTCCCTACAAGAACATACCCAACAAATAATAACAATAAACAATTGGAACAACAAACTAAACGAACAAGTGGACATACCAACTCATCTCCTAACCTAACACCTACTAGAATTAGTGAAAGAACTGAATCAATAAATAAAAGGCCATTACCACCTGTACCAAATAAAAGAACCAATTTCAAAATTAATTATAATTAATTCTAATTGTTTTTTATTTATTTCAGAATTGGTTAATTGAAAAAGAAGTATAAAATTTTAATTATTCATTACTTACCAAATAAAAGGAATCAAGCGATAACGAATAGGGAAGTTCTTAAAAGTCTTTTTATAAGCATTATGTTGATGTTGTGATAACATAATCATAGCCACCCAATTTAAAATACATAAAATAATTGATGTTTTTGTAAATGAAGTACAAAACATAAAGGAAGTAAAGAAGAGTCCCTCAAATAAATTGTTAGGGCAAGAAATAAAAGAATATAATGCCTTAGATGGGAAATAAACTAATTCACCAAAAGCATTATAACCTTTTGAGAGGTAAGTGTGATGGTAATACAGTCCCATTGTACAACTCAGACAATTAATTGCTCCAATAATTGTGCAGAGAGTACTTGTTTCATTTTTTCTGTAACAAAGTTCAAGTGAGAGCATTGCACAAATCAATACACCAGTAATTGCAGTGAACATTGCTCTAGTAAGTCCAACAGTAGGTTTAGCTGGATAATCAAGGAATAATGAAAATAAGGATTTAAAGACTAAATAAACAATCAAAATAATACATGATATCATGGCAGTAGATTCTGTAGTTTCTTCTAATGAAGGTAATGATGGATGTGTTGAAAAATAAACTAATAATATAGCACAAATACTATAGATTGCATTTGAAGGAAATAATAATGATGAATGAAGTTGTGGTGGTAAAATAGTAACTTCAATTTTGCAATGATCAGTTACCTTATAACTATTTAATGTATGACTATTACAGTCTAATACAATGCCATTGCATTTTAATTCTAATCTATCAATTGAAATATTGATAAGGTTGTCAATTTCGTTCTTTAAATTAGCAACAATTTCTGTTTCTTCAACAGTAATAGGGTATTCTTTATTTTGATAATTGATAGTCAAGTGCATGTCTTATTGAAATATGAGTTCCAATAACTCAGTTCAAAGAAAAGGTTGAAAGAAAGAAAAAAAAAATTGATTTGATGTGCTTTTCACTACCTTTAACTTCCTTCTTTTTTAACTTCAAATAAAAATATAATTATGTTATACATAACAATAAATTAATTTTCAATTTCCATTAAATTTTGGTTCTTCCATTGTTGACGACAAACTGGGCAATTAGTATTTTTTTCAAGCCAAGTGTCAATACAGTGTTTGTGAAATGTATGACCACATTCTCCTACTACTGGTGGACATTGTTCTCCAGGAAAAATGCAACATGGGCAACAATAGTCAAGAGTAGATTGACAAAAACAACATGTGTCTTCAAGTAAATCCCAAGACCATGATGATATTTCATTCCATTCAATTATTTCAACAGTCATATAAAAAATATTTAATTAATTAGTTTTTTTAAAACTTTTTGATGAAAAACTTGAATAACTAAAAAGAAATTTTATTATTTAACAAAGACTTTATTATACAAAGAATTGTTACACCATTATTATAAATAATACAAAAAGAGTTATTTTATTAATCAGAATGAAGATGATATTGTTATAGAATCAAATATAAGTTATATTTAATTATAAACAATTTTATAATAATGAATATAAAGATTTTTTTTTATAAAACTAATTTTAATAATTCTTTTTATTTAATTAATTAATAAAAAAACTATTTTTTTTGAAAAAAATTAATTAGTAATTTTAAATAAAAAAAAAACTTTCATTAAATCCATAATATTCTCTTTTAAATAATATTGAATAGTTTAAAATAATTAAAGAATGTTTTAAGTAAATAAACTATTTACTTTTTATTTAAAATAATTGATATAGTTTTTTGAGTATATAATTGAATTATTTTGTTTTTAAAACACGTTATATTTTATAATAATAAATTTCAAAATTTTAAAATATCTTTATAAACTTCAATAATAAGAAATATAAAAATTTACGGTGTTTTTGTAAAAAATGATAAAAGTTATAAAAAAGAATAAATAGTTTAATTTGCTTTCATTATTTAGTTATTAATATTAAAAAAAATAACTTTTTTTTTATTTCACAATTAAATAAACCTAAATATTAGTTACCCGATATAAAAATTCCAAAAATAATACAAAACAAAAATTTAATTGTTTCAATTTAATTATTGAAAACTAAAAATAGTTTATTTAAAAATAACAAAATATTATAAATTATTATAAAATATAGTAAATTGACTTTATATCTTAAAAAGGAAATGCCACATGAAGCCTTGTCAGCAAAAAGGTGGAGGGATATTTGAGTGCAAAAAAAAATTAAAATACATAATGACTTACGGTTTCCCAAAGACATCTTTCTTTATTGGTTTATTATTAATTGGGTTACTTGTTTTACAAACTTATTTACCACATGCACCACAAATACCAAGTTATGAAGTAACTTATGCTTCATTTAAAGACAAAGTAAATTCAACATTCTGTACTGCAAATTATCCATCTACTATTCAAAAGGTAGTAACACAATTACCTAAATTTAATGCTGAAATATTACTTATTGTTTTAGCTTTGTCAATTGCTTTAGTTTGGTTATTTAATTTGATTCCACAAAATGGATTTTTCTCATGGACTTTAATCCATTTATTGACACTTTTCTTAACAGTAATTGGTGCTGTAGCACTTTATTTATTCTGTTTAACTCCATCAGTTACTTGTAACAAATTCAAAACAGTAGTATTAAACTTTGAAAAATACAGTATTTTTGAATTTATTACTGGTATTACTGGTAATAATAATATTATCCCTTCTATTTTCTCATTTGTTCCTTCACATATTTTTGATAAATTTACTATTTTCAAAGGTATCTTTATTAATTATATTAATAAGCTTGGTGTTACTACTCCAATTTTCGTTGTTGTTATTGCTTTCTATTTAATTAACAAAAAAACTAGATTAGTTACTAGATTTGAATTATCTTCATTTATTATTTTAATTATCTCTGGTATTTCTGGTATTGAATATTATAAAATGACATCTGATTATATCTTTACTGGTGTATTTGTTCTTGGAGCTATTGTATTAGGTATTATTTTTGTTAACTTATTATTAACTTTCTATTATATTCTTTATTCACCAGTATATATTTTCGGTTGTTACTTGTTAAGTTATAGATTACTTAGCCTTTGTCTTATTTTCTCAGTCCCATTTGAATTAGAAATTGCTTGTGGATTCTTTATTTTCTTATTCAGTAATATTTTCATTTGGACTTATGACAGAAGTTATTTGACTGCTATCTTGTTACTTATCGACGGTTTGAATAAACTTTATCTTCTTCCATATGAAGCTTCAGTAATCTTTGTCTTCCTTTTTTACATTTTCACATGTGACTGCTGCAAGTGCAAGAAAACTTGTAAGGAAGCTGCTAAACCAAAAACTGACTAATTAAATTATTCAATTTAATTATTGTTTATTATATCTTTGAAAATTTAATAAAAGAATAATCTGTTTTAGTATATTTTTCTTAAAATGAATGACTACAATCCTTATCAAATCATCATTATTGGATTCTGATAGAATATAGTTAAATTATATCATCCCCCATTTATATTCTTTTATTTAACTTATAAAACTACACTCAATTTTATTTATAATTTATTATTATGAAAAAAAAAGAAATGATATGACAAAACTATAATAATTATTCAAAAACGAAAAAAATTGATTAAAGAAAAATTCAAATAGACACAATAAGAGAATACTTATGTTCTTTCACCTCTAATTCTTCTAGCAAGTTGCATATCCTTTGGCATAATGGTAATTCTCTTAGCGTGAATAGCACACAAGTTGGTATCTTCAAAAAGTCCAACAAGATAGGCTTCAGCAGCTTCTTGAAGAGCAGAAATTGCAGCTGATTGGAATCTTAAATCACTCTTTGAGACTTGAGCAATTTCTCTTACAAGAGCTTGGAATGGTGCTTTTCTTAATAAAAGCTCAGTAGATCTTTGTAAGACTTTAATTTCAGTAAGAGCAACTGCACCTGGATGTGCTCTTTTCTTCTTAGTACTATCCTTTGATAACATCTTTTTAGCAGCTTTGAATGCTACATTTTTCACAGCCTTAGCTGATTTATTGCTTGGTCGTTCAATATGTCCTTTAGTTCTGGCCATTGTGTTAGTAAACACAGTATTGATATATTCAGTTCATTTCTATCTTTAAATATTCTTTTCTTCCTCAATTTTTAGGGTTTCTTTTTTTCGAAGACTTTTGTAAATTTTTCTCTTTTCTTAATCTTTTTCTCTTTTTTTATTTCTAGTTTTATACTTGTTTCTTATAGTTTTTATTGTTATTCTATTTTTAATATTTAGGGTTTCTTTAGGTTTTCTATATTATATAAAAGAGAAAAAGTCATTATAATAACACAATAATTTATAGTTCTTTTTATAACAAATAATCGTTTTTTCTTCAAAATACTTAGTACTAAAAAATTTATAAATACCAAAAAAATTGAGAAGTTTTATTATTAAATATTTTTAAGTAAATAGTTATTAGTACAGTTTTTCATGTAAAAAAAAGAATTGAGTCGTTCTGAAATAGAAATTAATTTCTTTGAATTTTTATTAAATTTTCATGTTGAAATTAAAAGAAGTTAAGTCTTAACTCTCAATAATAAATAATTTATAAAATAATATTATTCATTAAAAAATATTTATTAGCAGAATAATATTTTTAAATTAGTATAAAATAGTTTTAATGATAATCTATTCTCCTAAACAATTTATTTTAAAAAACACAAATCTAAACAATGAATCAATAATTTTTATTTAGAAAATTGAAATTAAATTTATAAATTTAATTGAAAGTTGTAAGTTCAAAAGTCTCTAAATTTGATAAAGAGATTACATAAAATGTTAGACGTTACATTTCAATAAATACCATTAATAAGAAAATAATCTGGTACAATAAAAATAAAAGATATGGAAAATATGATAAGAATACTTTGAAAATGTTAATATTAAAATAATTATTTAGTTAAATTAAATTAATAAATTAATAAATTAATTTCTTAAAACATTAAAAACAAAAATTGATATAATAAAAAGAGATATGAAATGGTTATATTTTAAAAAAGAAGTTACAAGAAACAACAAAATAACCAAGAGTGTTTAATAATAAATTAGATGGTGTTTCTCTTAATATTGAAAATGAAAAAAGAAATACAAAAAGGGGTTAATAAAAATTATAATAAAATTTAAAAAGAAAATGGAGAACTAAAAAGAAAACAAAAATGAGTGAAAGACACGAACATTCATATAGAAATAAAAATCAAAAAGTGAGGGAAGATATCGTAGAGAGGAAGTCGAGAATACTTTTTGTTCGTAATATTTGTTTTAATACTAATGAAGAGAGTATTAAAAAATTATTTGAGAAATACGGAGAAATTAAAAAAGTGTTCTGTCAAATTGAGAATAGAGGAATTGCCTTCATTACTTTTGTTTGTTTTTCCAGGGTTCATTGTTGTTTTTAGTTTGAGTCATAACATAACTATTTTATAATAATATTTTAGTATGATATTCGTGATGCAATAAAAGCTCATGAAGAATTAAATAAAAAAGAAATTGGTGGAAGACCTATCAAAATTCATTACTCATTACCTAAAGATAATGAAATTAATAAAATAGATAGCCTTGAGAATCATGTTTGTTTTCTTTCTTTATTACCCTGTTATTAATACATAATTTTGTTTAAAATAATTGAATAAATAATGGTTAGGCAAATTTATATGTCATTCTTCGTGGTTTTCAAAAAATCCCTACCAACGATGAAATCTTTCACTATTTCGAAAAATTTGGTGAAGTTTCTGAAGTTAGAGACTCAGCTGATAAAATTACTATTAAATTTATTGAATACTATGACTCAAGAGCTGCTGTTAAAGCACTTGAATCTTCTAATAATGCTCATTGGAATGAAGGAACTATAGAAGTAAAATACGCATCATTTTCTAAGTTTGTTTAAACGTATTCTTCTATAGAAAATAAACAATAAGTCTTATACATTAGAAAAGATCTTGAACGTATTGTAGAAACAAAAAATCAATTAAAAAAATTAAAACATGACCATTTAGCAAAGGATAGAATTAAAAACTACCCAAAACATAAGTTGCCTAGTTCTTCTTCAAAAACAATACCACCTTATTCTATTTATCCTTCTTTATACCAACCTCCGTATACATCTACATATCCTTCTCAATATCAACCTCCTTATGTTAGTTATCAATACCCACCTCAATATTATCCACTTTCTATTCAAATTCAACCACCAAACAACAACTCTTCTCCTTCAGTTCCTCAAATTTATCATTCAACTCATCCTTATTATCAACAACAAAGTCCAACCACACCAAAGGCATTACCTGAATACTCAAATTCACAAAAACAACCATTTGTACAAGATCCACTTCAAAAACTATCACCACCACAAAATCTTCAAACAACTTCTAATTCATCTGATGACAGAAAACAGAATGAGTCAAATCCTCAACCAACATATAACCCTTATTTTTCTTCACGACAAGTTCAAACAACATCTGAACAATCGTGGAAATCAGACACAAACCCATATAAATGAATATTTTTTAAAAAAATTTATTGTTTTTACTTATAGTATTAAATAAATTAAAAAAAAGAAAAAATTAATTTATCCAAAACATTTGCAATTAATTTTTCTTGTTAATTGGCATTCCAATTGATTCAAGCATTTTGAGAGTAACTGGATCAGCAGTGATCTTGTCAATATTAACTTCAGACTTTTCTGGGACATAATTATCTCTTCTTTCTCTTTCTTCCTCTTGAAGTTTGAAAGAAATTCCTCTTACTGGTCCTTTTTGAATTCTTCTCATCAAATGAGTAATAAATCCAGCAATTTTATTTCTTAATCTTTTGGTTTCAACAACAGCAACTTCATCAACAACACGCTTATTAGTATGGAAATCAAGAGTTAAGAGTGGATAATACTTTTCAATAATATTTCTAGCAGCTCTTTTAACTGTCTTAGTTCTGACTCCTCCCATTACTTGTAAATCAGTTGAATTATGAAGTTCAACAGTAAAATTAAAAACCTTTTTCAGGGTTTTAATTGTAATAGTTTTGTTTTAATAGATTTTTATAATAAGAATAGTGTTATAGAAATATTAATGAGATCTTTGAAAAGAAGAACCATCAACCGAAAATTTTAAGTTCACATCTTGTATTGTATCAATTGTTCAAAAGATGCCAAATGGAGTCATTATTGATGAATTAGGAAGTATTTGGAAAATTACTTTATGTGTTGTTTGGATTATTTGTTTAATTATTGGTATATTCTTTTCTTTTGGCCAAATACTTGAAATTGGAATTATATCCAATTCAACGACATTCAATGTTGGTTCTTCGTTTAATGGAGATGATACTGTTGCTTTTGTTTCTTTTATTGGTAATGAAAAAAAGATAGAAGGAATTGTTGATTCATTCAATGGTATGAATATTGTTAATAAAATAAAAGAAGATAAGACTGATGAAATTGAAAATGAATTGAATTCTATTGGATTAAAGTCATCTCTTGTTTCTTTAGAAGAAGATGAAATTAGTTCTTCATTAAGTGAAGGAGATACATATTATTTCTTTGATGTAGAATTTTTAATAAAAACATACAACCAGTTTCAAGCAACAACTTGTAAGCCATACGTCAAAACTGATTTAAACCATCAATCAGTGGATAAAATAACAATTAGTGGAAATGCTACTTTTTGGTGGCTAGATCATCCTGAGTTAAATTCTCTTGATAACATTAATAAACCAGTCAAATTTGAAACACAATGTTCATTCACTGTTTGTTTTTATTAAATTAAATTAGTACCTATGTTAAAATATTTAATCAAATAGGGAGGAGAGTGTAATAGATTTAGTTTTATTTATTTAAGAAATGTCTTCAATTCTTCATATACTTTTATTTTCTTCTTTAAAGTTGGGTTGTATAATACTTTAGTGATGGATTCTAAAAGAGGAATTCCAGGATATTCACTATTCAAAATATCATTTGTCACTTTCCTAGTAATTTTATCAGTTATAGCAACTATACTTTATTCTATTTTATATCTCTTTATGAAATTATATAAAAATGATGAAGACCATTTTTATATTAATAGTTTTATTATGATTATCTTATTAAATTTTTATAACAATCCATTCAATATTCTTCGATTCTTCTTTAATGCTGATTGGATATCATGTATTGATACTTGTATATATACTATATATCAAATTGTTTTAATTTCATTTATCTTTTTACATATCGACCATTCGAGAAATGTTTGTTGTTAAATTATTATTTTATAAAAAGTCTATGTGTTATTTATAAATTAGCAAGCACTAGGAAAGAAGAATAGTGTTTTAATATGGATATTAAGAGCAACAGGACTTCTTGCATATTTTGTATTTTTCTTATTGTATTTCATTTTATATTATCTTCCATCAAATAAATCACCATTTTCTGTGGTTGATGATTCGATGTCAATTGGTCTTATGTTTGGTGCGTTATCAACTTTTATTTGTTTCTTATTATATGGATGGACATTGATTTATATGTTGTTTACTTATTCTGAAATACGATCCCCTCTGTATAAAAACAGAATTTTTTGGTTTAGTATCTTTACTAGTGTAGTTTTAATAGTTACTCTTCTTCACTTAATTTTTGGTCAAGACATGAATTATTTACCTCGTTTGTTATTCTCATAAAATCTTTTTTTGTTGTTAAATGAGTAATGATTAATTGTTGTTTATAGCTATTTCTATGATTTGTAGACAGTTATTGTGTAATTTGTATGTTTACACATTAACATTTATCTTCTTCCCAAAAGAAATTTCTAATGATGACGAATATGGTATAACTGCTTATACACAATTTTAATTTTATTTCTCAACAATTCATTATCTTCTTTTTCTAAAAAATTAGTTTACATAAAATCCCAAATATTTATTTTACAGTCAGAACCTAAAGAAGCATATAATGGATCTTCATGTGATGAAAATCCTGCAGTACTTAGCAACCTACCTTCATGTCCATCAAATCTATTTAACACATTCATTTGATAATCTAGTTGTATAAATCCATTTGAAGGATATCCAAGAGCAACAAGTATATATTCTTGTTTTTCCTTATAATCAATAGATACTACTTGTGCATTAGTTTCAACATAACTTCTTTCATTTGTAAGATAATTCCATCTTTCAATTGTCCTATCACGTATCCCTCCCCCAGACAATATTACATTATTTCTATTAATTTCAAAACATAGAGCTTTAACAGCTGATTTGTGGAAATAATCAATGTTAGTTGGAGTGTTATTGAAACGTATATCATATACATATACAATATGATTACTTGTTCCAATACAAATAGTATTATCATTTATTACCAATCCACAGATTTCTCCTTCAAATAATGTTGATGATGTAGGTTTATCAAACGATATTCTTCTGTCAATAAAATTAAGTTTCTTGTCTTTACTTCCAGTTACAATTATATTTTCTCTACAAATGATTCTTCCTATTCTATCATTATGGATTTTTGCTTTATTGGAAACTACATTTTCTTCTAAGTCAATTTGGTATAAAGTCCCATCACAATCACCAAGAATAACTGTTTTTTTTCCTTCTTTCTTTACACAACTCACTGAGTATAATTCATAGGTAGGAATTAATTGACAACTCTCATTGGTTATAACATTAACAGCAAACACAGAATTGCTTAGCCCAACAATCAATGAATTTTCAATCCAGTCAATACAATTAAAATAGAATTGATTAACAACTCCTTCAACATATATTTCTTTGTATAATGAATTAGTGGTTATGTGTTTTTTTGTTTGTTGACTTTTTAAACTTAGTCCAACCCAATCTCCAATATCTCTTCCAATAAAGTCATCACCAATCAATGGACTAATGGAGAGTTTTGACTTTGTTGATTTGTATTTGTAAAGTTCATTTGGGATTTGTTCATTTTCACAAAACCTTTGAAGGGAGTATTGAAATTTATTTATAGGATAAATTTGAATTAATTTATCCAAGTGATGAAAATCACTTTTCATTAATTTATTTTATGCAACAATTCTTTTATATTTGAAAAGCTATTCGTTAATTTTAAGAAGATTTTTAAATCTTTCTTTTCAAACAACAAAAAAAAATAAAAATGAAAGGTAAAAACGAAATTAGAAATTATTTTTCAGGATGTTTTGAAAGGAGACAAGATTGTTGAAATTTTTATATTTTGTGATTTTTCTCAATATAAGATGGAGTTTCTGATATTTCACAAGTTATTAATGAGTTGAGTATTTTAAATTTGTCTTTTTCTGATTGAAGGTTTTGATTTGATAAATGATACAGTGAATGGTCAGTTGATGGATTATTTTTGATTGTTTCTATTTGCCATCCTGACATGCGTTGGTAATATAACTTTATTTATTGATTCAGAATAAGGTGTATATGTTTTGGTGGTGGAATTGGTGAAGAAGTCCAGATAGTAGAAATAAAAGAATTGTTTTCAGAAATTTTCTTGTTAGTCTTGTGATTAAAAATAAAAGCAAAACGATCATTATTATTAAACTTATATGAAGATACAATTTTGTCAATTGTTTTTTAACTAAGGATATTACAAGAAATATATGTAATACAGTCTTGAATAAATAAATGAAGAGAAAAAGTTGGCATTGCATATGACAATGAATTTCCATTTAAATAAACATCAGAAATTAAAGTTGTATTTATTTTTGATATTATTCTAAAAGTGTTTCATGAGACTGGAGTGATAATAATTATATTCTTACTTAAAATATCTGGAGAATAAGAGTGTGTGCAATTCCAAATTATTTGAAGGTCATATTCTTTTTGTTTTATTGTTTTAAATAATTTAAGACAGTCACAAATTAAGTTTGCTTCGTTTATTTGAACTAATATCAATTTATCTATGTCAGTTTGAATAACTGAGGTTTCTTTTTCATTATACTTTCCTAAGTGTTGAAAGAGATGAAAAGTTGCCCAATTTTATCATGTGGTGGAAAGTCAATAAAAACTTTTGCGTTAAAGAAAGATTGTTGATTATCTAAGAGAATTAAAGCATTAAGTAATTGTTTATTAACTTCTAATTCAATACCATCTAACTCAATCCCAATAACATATAAATGATAGAGTAAAGCTCAAAGAAATGGAGAAAATACACTCTTATCTTCATTTGGAATAAAATACATTAAGAATGTTTTGAAATGTAATTGATAGGCTCCTTCTAATTGTTCTGGATATTGACCAATTTCTTTTGTTGATGAAGAAACAAAGAGAGGAACTCCTTCAATTCTTTTGTCTCCATCATAGTGAGAATTAACAGTATTTTCTTTTTTTGATATAATTTGTCCTAATGTACTAACATAATCAACAGAACTTTCAAATACAAATTTACCGTCACAATTTCTTTCAATAATAGCACACCGTAATTGTGTTTTATCTGTTTAAGGGATATCATTAAGAGAGTACAATACTCCATTTTTATAAACAACTCTTATATGATCTAATGCTTTATTGTACCAATATTGCATTAATTGACATTCTTTAACAAAATGAATAGAAAGGAAAGTATCATTATTTGCTTCAAATAATTCTTTACTAATGAGACTTGTTGAGACATGTTTGATTTGAGGAATAAGACGTGGAAATAATCAACTTAATTTGGTAAATACATCAAACAATGTTTTCATATATTATTTTTGTAATGATTTTGCACTATTTAAATAGTCATAAAGAGTCTATATCAATAAATAAACAAAAACATCAGGAAGACTTTGTGGTTTACGACATTAAATAAATTTTTCTAATAAAAAGAGAACTAATTGTACTACAGCCAAAGAAAATGTATTTTCACCATGTTTTGGGATATAATGAGTACATTTACATATGGCATGTAAAATGCTGAAGAATAATTACAGTTTTTTTTATAATTAACTTCTTTATCGATATCAATTGAGTACATTCTTTGAATGTCAAATAATAATAACCATGCTAGATGATGAATGGTATTCACAGTATAAGTACCATAATTAATATGGAAATTAGATGTTTCTGGTGTTATTAGAAGAAATGAAATAAAGAATGTTGTAATAAAATTACAAAGACTAGAGATAAGTTTTCCTAACCTACAAGATCAGTATTTATAATTTCTCTGAAAAGTGTAGATAATAATGTGTATATTTGATCTTCTGAACTAATCATATTTTTTAATTCCATTGTATAATAAACATTATAATGAACTAATGAATTATTTAATGTTTTAATAAAACCACGGAAAACCCAAGCATTTACATAACCTTTTATTCTTTTATCACTTAATGAAGTATTTAATATATTATCAATTGAACTATAGATTAGTTTAAGAGATAAAGTTAAACCACTTAATGGATAATTTAATGTTGCTTGAAGATTATCTAAACATGATTTATTTACAAAGAAGTTTAAAGATGAAAGTGATTTTTGAATAATACTAATTAATAAAGAAATATATTCAGGATTGTTTTGAGTTAGTGACAATGTTTCTGAAAAGAATGATAATATATTTCCTATAGAAACACAAATAGCTTCTTAATAAATGTCATGGTCACATGAAAATAGTGGTGATGAAGCTACTTTTCCATATAAGTATAATATCATATTCAACAGATGGTAATGATGTTGAATTAGCGTTACAACTAATTCTACTTGAAAGATCATGCATTAATAAACTAATACCTCCTTGAAAAGTTAATGCATTTTCTGAGGTTAATGTATTACAGTCAATTCTACTTAACCTATAAATAAAGCCAAATTGACTGTAGTGTTGATTGGCTCATTTCAATAATTCTTTCTTCACCATTATTTTTAATAAAATGAATTGTAGAAACTTCTTGATTTTCTATAAGACTTTGCATATAACTTTCTTGTTGACATAAAGTAGTCGCAGTACATTGTTGAAATACATCAGTGTCTAATTGCCATTCAATAGAATGGGATTTAAATATATACCATCAATTATTTGAAATACTAGCACTTTTTAATAAACAGAAGTGTAATACGTTAATAAGTCTTTCAAGTAAATAAAAATAATATTTATTTTGTTTGTTTTCGAAATAATTTCTTTTTTTGTTAGAATGAAGTTATTCAAATACAGTAACAAAGATACCATATACACAACTTAATATCCATTCATTATGTTCTTTTCAATATTAACTATCAATTAACTTATAAAATACATCTAATGCTATAAGACAATACTCTGAATGACTTTCAATTTCTTTTTCTTCACTTTTACAATTAAGAAAAGGTAATGTTAATTGACCAAGAATTATCTTTGTACATTTAACATATTCTTCTCATAAATATTTTGGTTTATTAACTTCATTCATATCTAACCATTTTCCATACATTTCAGCAATTCTTATTATTTCTTTTTTAGTCTTACAATAGACAAACATATCTGCTAATGTTGATAATACCCATATCATTTTCCCTTCACAGTCAATACATTATAAGTTATTTGAGGATTTTAATGAGTCTAATGTTGGTGTCATTATTTTTACTTTTTTATCTTCATCAAAAAATGAAAGTACATCATAACTCATATTACGTTGAGCCAATTCAAAGTCTTCAATTGTTTGAATAAAATCGTTCCATTTTGCCTCATAGAATCGGGTACTTATCTAATAACTACTTAAAAGTTCATTCTTTGAAATTGTTTATTTATACAGAAGAAAAAGAGAAAATCTAAAAACTGTTAATGAAAACACTAAAAAAAACAATTTAATAGAAAAAGATGAATTTTAATGAAAATACAGAAGAAAAGATTCCTCAAACGGTGATACTAACAGAAGAAGTTAATTTAGGATTTGGTGTATGTAAATGCATTGAATTTCTTAAAACACATGGAGGTGTAGATGATGGAGTAAAAGAAGATGATGAAATTGATCTTGATAGAGTGGATGATTTAGGAAGAACCATCAAACCATTAGAACAGTACAGAATGATGTGTCACAGATTTCATGGAAAAAATCCAAGCAAAAATAAAATCAAAAGAACAAATAAGTTAAGAGCACAAGATATTCTAAAATTAAGAATGTCATTCCAAGATACTCCATTAGGAATGATTAATACCGCTAAGAAACTTATGGTAGAACAACACAAACCATTTCTTGATGTTAAATTAGAAAAAAAATAATTTCAAATGAATTAATTGAATAGTTTTTGTAATTACTTCATTTTCAATCTTTCAATGCATTCATACGTGATAATAAATCATCAACATCATCACTCCCACAAACTGGGTTTGAATTAGGAATTGGTGCAAAAGTTCCAACTGATTGAAATTGTTGTGATTGTTCCTGGGTTTGATTAAAAGAAGGAAATTTATTGGTATTTTGTTGAATTGGTTGATCAAATGATGGGAATGTATTTTGTTGTGAAACAGTTGGAGTATTGAAGGTTGGGAATTGGTTCTGCTGTGGTTGAGTAGGTTCAAATGAAGGGAATTTATTTTCGTTACTCATAGATGGAAATTGAGGTTGTTGTTGATGAGGAGTATCAAGTGAAGGGAATTTATTATCATTACCCATACTTGAAAATTGATTTTGTTGATTTGTTTGTTGTTCAAAAGTAGGAAATCTATTATTGTCTTGGTTCATAGAAGCAAATCGAGAATAACTATCATTTATATTTTGTTGTTGAGGTTGAATAAATTGTTGTTGTTGAAAAGAAACAGGGTCAGTTGTTGGGACACCAAAACCTTTTTGTTTTTCAGGTTGAACTTCTTTAGGTTTCAAGGCATCAAGAAGGTTATTAACAATTGTTTCAGAGATGTTGTTCATATTTCGATATTTCTTATATAAACGCTGATCAATAGTATCTTCTGTTGTCTCTGCAATTAACGTAGTTCCAAATTGACCAACAAACATTTTTTTTATATCAGTAAGTTCTTTAATGTCTTCAAGTCGTTCAGAAAAGAACACAATACTTCGAATTTCAACATCAAGAGATCGTGGTACTAATCCACATCTTGGTAATGTTGCTGAATACTGAACTAAAGTATTTATCATTTTAACTAATACCTCATAAATATCAACTAAATACTGATTATAAATCATATCCTTTGCTTCTTTTTTTGCATCAACATTTCGATGTTCTTCAAGCATTATTACAATAACCTTTTTTGATTTTATTAGACATTGTTTTTTTCCAGTAACAAGTGCATTGATCTTACTTGTTGCATTGGCACAAGCAGTGGCGAATCGTTCTTCAGTTAATCTTCTACTCATTTCTTCAATCTTAATTTTAAGTTCTTAATAAAAAAACAGTTTTAACTTTTAAACATTTGCTTAAAATATAATTTAATAAACATTTGTTTTAAATATTCATGTTCGACTGTTTAATATAACAAAAAAAAAATAGAATATTTGAATAACAAAATACAATTTCATTTCTTTTTATCAAGTTTAAATGCTTCACTTCTTATTTTCTGAAAATCAATACATAAAGAAGCAAAGGAAGGCCTATTTGTTGGTTGTTGGTGCCAACATTTGATAACTAATTTATTAAATTGGGAATAAGGGGTTTTGACATTAGGAAGAGGACGAATTCCATTACAGATTTGATAAAATAATGGAGGAGACTGTTTATTTTTTTCATAAGGATATAGCCTATGTGCTATTTCCCATAGAATGATACCAAATGAATATACGTCAGCTTCCGGTTTAAATTCTTGGTCTTGAAGTACTTCAGGAGCAATATAAGCGATTTTACTAATATCTTCTTCTCGTTTATCTTTAGTGAATTCGATTTTATTACCAATATAATTTGGTGTTGTTTTACCAAAATCAGCAATTACAGCATATCGTTCTTTAGTGATTGGATTAACTTTTATCATTATGGCACTTGTTCTCAGGTTCCGATGAACCATTTTGATAGAATGTAATTTTTTCATTCCTGTGCAAATTTGAATGATAAAATCTAAGTTTGTTTTCCAATCAACTGTACTATTTGAATGAAGATATAGACTTAGATTTTGTTCACAATAATCAACTAATAATGCTAATGGGGTTAAAACAATTCCTTTTAATGCTAAAAAATTAGGATGGTTAACGGTTTTTGCAACATTTGCTTCTCTCATCATTGTAGAAAACACATTACCTAAATATCTAGTACTTCCTCCTTTTTCATTTTTTCCTTCATATGAAAAAGTTTTCATACATACTTGTTCATTATTATAAGATGCTTCATATAATATATAATCAGTATCATCTAATAAATGTCGTTTTATTTTTACTTTACTTCCTTCTATCATTAAATTAGAAAAATCTGATTTTAATACTTCTAATTGAATACCAATTGATATATTAGTCACTGAAACAATATGTTGTCTGTAACTCCCTCTTGATATGCTTGGTTGACAATTAATAGTATCATTACTGTTTCTTATTGCAATTCTTAAATTTTCAACAAGCATCTCTCCTACATCTGGAATACCTTCTTCTATACAAACTGGACATAAAACACATTCATTTGTTGCTAATTCTTTTGAATAAAATGATAATATTTCTTTAATCTTTTTATTTAACTCTCCAATAAAACTAATACAATACAATGACCGTGTAACACTATTAGCAATAGTTCTGATTTTAATAATTAACCGAGAGTATTCTAATTTAATCATAAGATAATAAATTTGGTCATGGTCTTCAAATTCAACAAATACATATTGTTGGAACATATTAATAATTTTTGAATTACTAACTAAAATTAATGCCAAAATATGGTCATATATTAATGGAGGAACATAATTAATTCTAAATGACCAGGCATACTCATTATATCCTTTTTCTAATTGTTTAGGCCAAATACGTTCTATGACTTTTGAATTTGCTATAGATAATGTACTGTGTAAACTGAAAGGAACAAAAGGAATACACTCTTTTGATTCAGGAATAGAATCATCTTTTAATTCAATCAATTGTTGATTTTGTTCAGATATTTTAGTGTTAGTTCTTTGTGAATTTGTGATGCTTTCTTTAGTAATTAAAACTAATTTATGTTGAGATTCCATTGGCTTGTTTAATAATTCTTTTAAGGTTTCTATTCCTCCTTCTTGTTTAAATCCTTCATAATTATTAGTTAAATGAAACTTTTTAAACCATTCGTCAAAGTAAACACATAACATATTATGTATTTCCATTTTGAATAATATAAAAGAGAATAATGTAATATTCATATTTCCACACCATTGTAATTTAGAATATATGTCACTCATTATTCCAATTCCTTTTGTTGAATTTTTATACATTATATCATATATCTTCTCAAATAAATTAGTTTTTAGAATAAATACTTCTTCCATAGAATCAAAACAAGGTAAAACTTTAAGTAAGTCTGGTGCATTATTTTTAATAATATTTAATACTGAAGCACTTGATATAATTGTTCCGCTTTGATTTAACTCATCAATAAATCGTGTATGTTTTTCTTTGTTGATTCCAAAAGTTTCAATAATTTTTTCTAATTGAGCCCTATTAACAATTGGTGGATTAATTTCACAATTTAATAATTCTTGGTCAATTTCAAGAAGTTCATACTCTTCATTTTCCCATCTATGTTTAAATTTTTTTATCCATTCAATAAACTTTTCTGCCATTATTCTACTATTCTCTTTTCCTTTTGCAAGATGAAGAAAGTCACATTGTTTAAAAGTATCTTTGACTGTTGATTCAATAAAATCTTTTTCTGATGACTTAATGTCAGCAAGTAATAAAACAAATACAGACATTTGTTGTGGTAATACCAAATTAAGATAATATTTCCAATAATAAATGGTTTCAATTTCTTTTGATGTAAACACTATTAAATAACAATCATTCCGTGAAAAATTAAATGATATTGGTGATGAGTCATCATGATATATAAAAGTAAAATAATCTTTTTTATTAAGAGAAGAAGTTCCACAAATTTCATCAGTTGAATGAAGAAATATAATATTATTTGTACTATTATTTGTCATAGAAATCCATTCATCAGTTATCATTTTCATAGTTTCAATTCCAAATGATGATGATAACACATGAATCTTACTAATAACGGGAGGAATAAAACAATTAATAACTCCATTTAATAATGGATGAACAACAGGTAATGATTTAATTGAATTATTATTTATATCAAAATGAGTTAATGAGGTTAATTGAGTTTGTTTTATAGAAATATATTTCAATAAATTGGTACTTAAATTGAGGTCTTTCAATTGAGTCATTTCATAAAGCCAATAAGGTAATTCTTTAATTTCATTATCAGCAACATCTAATTTAGTTAAATAAGTTAAAAAACTAATTTGAATAGGTAATGTTTTTTGTTCACATGATTCTAATATGAAATTCTTAAGACTTGTAAGTTGAGGGAGTATAGAAATATTAATACAACTATTTCTTGAAATATCAAGTGTTTCTAATTCTTTAATTTTAGTCAATGAGTATGGTAATTTATTAATACAATTAGTTAATAATAATGTTTTTAAATTTACAGGAAATATAAATTTATCTAATGCATTTGGTTCAAAGAAAACTTGAGATGATAAATCAAGATATTTTAAGTTAGTTAAACTACTTAATAAAGGAGTAAAGAATATAGATTTGGTTCCACTATTATTTGAAATATCTAAATATGTTAATTGAGTCAATGAATCAAAGAAATGTTTAGGAATACAATTTAACTTACAATTTGATAATATTAATTTTTGTAATGTAGTATATACTTGAAGACATTCTGGAATAATCATTAATGGGTTATTACTAAGATTAATTACTTCAGCTTTAGATACATCTTTAATATAACTTGGTATTTCTGTTAAAGTTCCTCGTTCATGAAGGTCAAAGTTAACAGCAGCAGAGGTATTAAATAAGTCAGTTTGTTTATATGTATAATTCATCCATCTAAAGAAGAAATATGGACAATGTACTAATGGTAGTTCTTTGTTACAATATTTCTGATAAAAGTCGCATTCTTCATTAACGAATGAGTTATTTACAAAGAATTCTTTATTTGAATATAAATATACAAAAACCCCTTGAGTCGAACTTCCTTCAAATGCAGAAAATCGTCCAGAATTACAGTGTTGATAAAGGAAATGAATGAGTGTTGAATTGAATCCAAATTGATAAGGATAATAATAAATGAATGAATGAACCATTTTTAAGAATACAAGAAAATGAACGGGATATAGATTATATTGACAAATAGTTTTAAAATATCCATACTGTACAAATTCTTTAAAAATTAATTCTAAGAATCCTTCAAATGATCTATAATATTTATCTGTTAATAATTCAATCAATGAAGTATAAATTCCTATTTCTGATGCATTTTTTGTATTTGGAAGAAGAATAATAGATTCTCCATGAGTTAATTTGTTAATAATATTCATAGTAACAGATAAAATAATTTCTTGATATTCAAGTAAATAATTAATATATCCATTGAGTTCTCCTATAGTTTTTTCATTAACATCATTCATTAATTTAACAATTTTATTATGAAAAGAATCTTGAAGAGTATCACACGTTTTTAATAATGAAGGATTTGTATTATAAGTTGAATTAACAAAAACAATTTCAGTTGTACATATTGTAGTAAATATTTGTTTAAGTTCATCTGGATACTTTAGTTGTGAAGTAGTATGATCTTTACAAAAAATATATTGTAATTTAAAAAGATAAGACCCTGACTTATCTCTATGTATTAATATAGGTGAACGTTTAAATTCATCCATTTCTAAATGTGTTTCATCAATTAATTGATAATGTCTAAAAGTAATTCCTTCAAAACTACATCTATTTCTATCTTTTAAATTATTTTGAACACAAAATAATGAATTTGGTGATTTAATATCTACTCCAAGTCTTGTTGCAGTTTTCTCCCAAATATTTTCAAAAATATTTTTGAAATAAAACTGTTCATAATCATCTATTTTCATTGTTTGATTTCTTACTTTATTTGCTATATAAATTAATCGTTCTTTAAATGAGATTACTCGTTGTTCATTTTCCATTGAAAAGAGTAATATTCTATTATCTCGTGAAATAATTTTAATACAATGAGGACATTGAGATGAATTACTACCATTTCCTGATACAGCATTAGCTTCAAAAATCATTTTCAATGGAACTTGATTAAAATAATAACATTGTGCCATTGAACCTAATGACTCATTTGATGTTCTCCATATTAATCGATAATTTGTTAAATAAAGTTTTCCTCCAACCCAAGTATTTAAACATTCTTTATTTAATTGTTCTTGATTAAGTATCATATATAATGGAATTTTACTAGGTTGTTCAATATATAAAATTACTTCTCCACCATAAAGACTATCTGATTCAAAAACTCTTTCCAATTTACTTTGAGTTTTTTTCTAGAGAATAAATGGTCTTGTTCAATAAATACTTTTAATAAAAGAGTATAAATAACAAACTGGTATTAACTTATCTATTAAATCAACAAGAAAATAAAATTTAGGAACTTTACTAGAATCACCTTCATAGAAAAAAGAAAACATGGTATGAAGAAATAATTCTTTACAATAATAATAACAACTCTTATCATCAGAAATCATTCTATGAATAAATTTTAATGTACGAAGAAGAATAACTCCATTTTGTTCAAGACTTCCTATAAATTTTCTAACTTCATTCATTAATTGAATTTCATCATTTTTAAGTTGATTATATCCTTCAAATAATTCATGTGCTTTCTTTTCATTTATTAAAATAGGTCGTTTTTTTGCAAAAAATGTTCTAATTGCCATAAAAGCAATTAAATGTGCTTCATCTTTAGGCATTTCATTAAATTGTTTTATTTCATTTACTTCATAACCCTTCATTAATTCAAACATTTTTCTCAAAGCTTTATCTGAATTAACTTTCATAAGTAAAATATGTTTACCAATTTTTGATTTGTTTTCATAATTAATAATATCATTTTGGATAGTAATAGCTTTTTTCTCATTAATCCCTAATTTAATAAGTTTCTCTAATGAAATTCTCTTAACGTCTTTTCCTAATTGTTTTTCTTTTACATATTTTGTCAATTTCTCTTCTCCAAATTTATTAATAAATTCATTTAATTCTATTTCAGTCATTTGAGAATATGGTTTTACCGCTTTTGTTTCCCGTGTTACCTTCTCGATAAATCGAAATGAATTTTCTAATACTAATGGAACCCCATCAAATGTATGTGTCTTTAATCTGAATTGAGGTTTATGGGATTCACTCTTTCTGAGAAATAGTAATGGCTCATGTGACCGTGTTGATTCGATGTCAGTTGTTGTCAATGTCCTTTCAGACAATTGGGGTGGAACACTTCTTGACTCAGGCTTTTGTCCTTTAAATAATTCAAGCATTCCATTTTTCTTAGTTTTATGGCGGTCTTTAGGCCTGAATGTGGTACTTCCCATGCTCATTGAAAAATTAATTTTTAGTGGTATTTTTTCTTATTTTCTTTGAAAAACAATTCTTATAATAAAATCATCACTTGGCTTTCTTTTTAGAATTTACAAATTCAATTTCATTATTTTTTTCTTATGACTATGTTAAATTCTCTTAATACTTAATGCAACGTTCTAACAGAACTTAAAGGCGTTGTTATTTGGATTAAAAAAACAGACCATTAAATGAAAGACTATCAAATTTGAAAATAAATTAAATTCTGTTTAAAAAAATTAAGTTTTAAATGAAATTTGAATTATAATATTTTAAACTAAATACACTTTCAAAAATCAAGAAATAGTTTTGGAATTTAAAGAGAATTATAAAGAGGGGTTGGAAGTCAATAGTATGTATTTATTATATCAAATTAGAATTAAATTTATACTCTTTGATCAAATCTTAATTTATTTTAAACGTTATTAAATTCTCTTTACACCATTACTTAAAAGATGAATTTAATTAAGTCTTAATGAACTAAAACTAATGAAATTAAAAAACGTCCTTGATGGGATTTTTAATTACAAAAAGGGAAAAAAGGAAGGGTAAAATACCTACCAAAAAGAAAATAATAAAAATATAAGTTTTTAACTATTTATAATAGTAAACCAAATATCAGAAAAAGGAATAAGAGAAGAAAAGAAAGGAAAAGGGTTGAAAGTAACTGTATGAAAGTTAATCAATGAGTTTCAACTCTGAGATAGAACCTTACCAATTTGGTATTGAACAAGAAATATATTATAGAAATAAAGAAGATAAAAAATTGAAAAAGAAAAAAGAAATTAATGAGGATGTTGAAGAAATGGCACAAGCACTTTTTATATATTGGAAATCAAAAGAGTTAATGAGGAGTAAAGATATTCAATATGAAGAAGCTAATGAAAAAGCAGAATTATTATGGAAAGATAAACTTGATGATGGAACATTGGAATTATTTAGAAAAGCAGCAGCTGTTCAAATAGTAATGTTAGGAGGTGAATTTATTGCTCAAAAGAAAAAAAAGATTCAAAAATGTTCATTTGAAAGAAATCGTGCTGAGTGTAATCCTTTTTTATTATTTTGTAAAGATCACAAAGAAAATGTTAGAGAAAAAGGTAGTAGAGGAAAAGGAATGACTACGTTATCTAATATGTGGAAAGAACTTCCTGATTCTGAAAAAGAAAAGTATTTGGAAATTGCAAAGCAAAATAAGTCTAAAGAAAGAAGGTGTCTTAATAAAGATATTCAAGAACAAGATAATTTAGCTGTTCCTTCAATTCAATCTATTCCTTCAGTTCATGAATATCAACAACTCACTTCTCTTGATACAATGAATCCTGCTACACAAATAAATAGTATGTCACCATTAACTTCATTAAATCCAATAAATGGTACAATGAATATTCCTTTTGTTCCACCATCAATGAATAGTCCATTTGTTCATGACATGTAAATCTATTTCTCATTTATTTAATAATAGACTTCTTATGGTTAACTAGGTTTTGTTTAACTATTCTTAATTATTCTTCTATCATTTTCTTTTATCTTTCTTTGTATTAAAATTATGAGTAATAAAGATTGCATGTGAGAAACATCACACAAACATCAATACAAATCTAAATATTGAATTATCAACTATTATCTAGTTATGACGTTGTCTTTGTATAGAAAATCTATTAGTTAATATTACAAAGAGTATAATGAAGTATTATGATGGAATAATATTTTTTGTAATATAAGAAATGATATTTGCTAAGATGAAATTAGGAATATATAATGAATATTATCCAAGGAAAATGAAATATTTGGTATAGCTAATACTAAAAGAAAATTAGTTATAAAAGTATAGTGGTAATGAAACGTTCATTCATCATACAATAAGAAAATAAAGAACGAAGAAGTTATTTAAAATTACAGTAAAAATCAAACAAGAATAAAAAGAAGTATAATAAAGACAATGATAATAACTAAAAAATCAAAAAAAAAATACGTAGTATATTTGAATTAAATAATAATAATATTAAAGAAAACCTATTAATATCAATCAAGTTGATTAAATGAATATTATTTACTACTTAAACAAAATATGATTTTGTAAAAAAAAACTATGATAATTGCCAGTTTTTTTGTTATATTAACATATTTTTTGTTCAAAGAACCAAGCTAAATCTCATTAATAATGTAGATACAATCTTGTTTATTCATATTGATATGTTAGCATCCTAAAATAGAAGTACAGAGTGATGATGTAATATAAAGTTGAGTGAAATTTTTGTTATTATTTATTTTTAAAAACAAATGAAACTATTTAATATAATAATAATATTAAAGATTGATTTATTTTTAGTATTGAAACCAAAAATAAACAAATTCATTTAAAAAAATATGTTATAAAAAACAATAAAAATATATATGAAAAAAAAATGAACTTAAATAATTTTGTCAAAAAAGTGGGAGATGGATGAATTATATCAAATAGCATTAAAAAAAAGTAAAGGAAAAGTCCTTAACGATGAAGAACAACTGATGGTTAAAGAAATGGTTAAAGAAACACTTAAACCAGTTAATGTTACAACCCAATTTGACCATTTTATATTTACAAATGAAAAATTAAAAAAAAGTTATTTGCAAAATTTACCAGCACCACACTGTTGTCGTTTTCTTACGGATAGTTATTATATTTGTTCATGTACTGAAAAGATATTATTTATTTGTGAATCATGTAATGAACGTATGAGTATGGACAATCACTATAACCATACAAAAGGAAAAGGAAATATTAATATGATTTGTCAGTGTGGAATAGAACATAAATTAAAAGTATCTGAGACACCAACATTATTGACTGGATCATCTCCAGTTCTTATTCTTCCAACACATGATGAGTCTATTAATAACAAATCAACGAAAATAGAAAAAGATTCTACGATTTTACTTGTAGGAGAAGATTCAGTAGAAATCAATAAAAGTCAAATTATTTTAACAGAAAATAAGAAAAAGAAAAAAGGAAATGGTTTTAATACCTTAGAACAAAGAATTGAAAAAGATGAACAAAAATTAAAAACATTACACAGAAGTCAACAAAAGAAAGAAGGAATTCAAATACTTTTTAGTAAAGAAAGTGCTAAAGAAAAGTTAGAATCATTTAAAGCTTTTAAAGAAAAAATAGATGAAGAAGAAAAGAGAAATAAAAATGAATTTAAAGAAAGAAAACAAAAACTTAAAGATTTACTTCCATCAAAATATTCAAAAGAAATAAAAGAATTACCAACACAATCAAATAAAGGATATTGTTGTATGCATGGAATTGATAATAATTTTGGTATTAAAATAACAGAAGAAATGGAACATAAAATTAATAATTTTATAATAGAAATAATGGATTGTCTTATTGAAAATAATATGAATGAATGTCACCCTTTATTAGAATATATTAATTCTTTAATGGAAATTCCTATTATTAATGAATCAATTACTATATTTGTAACAACAACTCCAATTATGTTTAAAAATGGTTTACTTCAACGGTTTTTTTCATATTTTTCAAGTGGAACTAATGTTATTTCATTCTTTTGTGATAAATATTGTGAAATGATAATAAAAAATGAAGAAGAAACTGAACATTTACTTTATCAATTTTTAATTGAATTAGGACCAGTAATTTTAAATTCATTTACAAATTCAATTATAATATCATTACTTCCATCAGGAATAAAATATGAATTACTTACTAAAATAAGAAAAGGAGTAATAGGATATGAAGAGTCATTAAATTCATTTCAAATAAATACAATTGTTGTAAAAGGTGTATTAGAAATATTTAAATTAAGAAGAAATCAAATAACAGTTTTACTAAATTCAAAAGAATCAATAACCCAATATTATAGTATTATATTTAATTCTATTACAAATGTTTATAAAGCATTAGAAGAATGTTTTGAATATTCAAATATGTATTTTTTATGTGAAGTTGTTATGAATAATAGTGAAATATTTGGAACATTTGTAGAGTTATTATATTCTTGTAGTTATTCAATCAATTTTAATACAATGAATCCATTTTCATATATAATTCAATTAAGATTAAAATTATTTGAAGTTCTACGTTATATATTTAAGTCACTAACATGTTATTTAAATCTTTTTAGAATATATATTAAACATTATAGAATAATAAAAACATATGTTGATCTTGTTTTAAAGAAACATCTTCAAACAGATACACTTGAATTTGATGGAGGAATTATTTTATTTCGATTATACTCATTAATAATTAGAATGTTATTCATTCAAAAATCATCAAAATCAATAACATATAAATTACTAAGTGGATATTTTAAATTACAACATTATTCTTTAGGAGATTTTACTCAAAGAAGATTAATTAATCTTAATAATAATGACATTAATGATTTTGAAGAACAAACACCAATGCATATCGATATTAGATGGCTATTTACTGATTCTTATTTTCAAAAAACTACATTATTAGATTCAGAAAAGAAAAAATTATCTAAAACTTCTTTAATTTTTGCACAAGGTATTCTTCATTCTTATTTATCTATGTTAAAATCTATAAAAAATTGGGATCAATTCTTCTTAAAACAAAAAAAACAAAAAATATTTCTTCCAATACAATATCTTTTAATTTATTCTTTTGACCCTTTATTTGGTAAGTCTCTTGACACATTCTTTCTTCAATTAGTATATTCACAATATAATTTTATTCAAGATATGGATTTAATTCAAAAACAAAATATTCATCAATTATTTGGTTTGGACTATGAAATGATGTTAATATTTAATATGATTAATGAAAATAATTATGAGCCTTTAAATGATCCTACAATTAAATATCTTACTTGTATTGTAATGATTTATATTGATATTTCTTATGTTAGATATAATATTGTTAATGAACAAGATGTTTCATTATTACAACAACTTAATCCTTCATTAAATAACTATTGTTGGTTTCAAAATGGAAGTGTTGTGTTTAATATGAATGCTTCTTTACCAATTATTAAACTCTCACCAACTGTATTTAATCAAATCCCTTATTTTAATAGATATATTCCAATGATTTATCAAGAAGATTATCAACGTATTTGGGTCCAATTATTTAATGAGTCTTATAAAGGATTTAAAGACTCTTATTCTATTCTTTCATCTCCATTAATAAAATTCCCGTATATTATTGACTCTACAAAAAATCTCATATTTTCACTTATTGCAAAAATAGACACTGAATGGAAAATAAATATAGAATCTACTAAAGAATTATTGCTTTTTATAAGAATTCAATGGATTTTCATTCACTTATGTAATTGCAAAAATCCTTATGAACCTAATAAAATTTTGTTATTATTAACTATTATTGAAAAAATAATCAATTTTCAATCTCATCTACTCAATTCTAAAAATATATCAATTAGTCTCTCTGATTCTATGGAAATTAATCAACAAAAAATCTTTGACCTTCGATGTCTTAATGAAAACAAATTAATTAATGTGTATATCATTGAAAGCTTATTAAATATCTTCCAATATCTCAAAGAATCTATCCCATCAATAAACTCTTAACTGATATTTATGTTTGGGCTCTCTTTAAAATTAGAGCTCAAAAATGTTTTTCTTATGGTTAATTTTTGTTTTTTTTTAAAGAGTAAGAATCTAAGATTGTTTCATAATTATTTCTGAAAAGAGAAAAACAATAACAAAAAAAAGAATATTATAATAAAAAGGTTAATAACAAATAGTAAAAAGAACTAAAAAAATACCAAAAAGAATTAAAAATAAGAAATGAGTCAAGAAAGTGACACTACAACTTTTGATACTATCGAAGCTGTTGCTCCTCCAATTCAAATTAAGACATTAGAAAAAATTGAAGTTAATAAAATATCAACTGATTCATCTTCATCACAAAAGAAGAATTTTTTATCAGCACCAACTCTTTATATGACAGACGAGTTTGTTGTTAGTATGTAGGTTTTTCAAATGAGATTGATTGTTATCAAACCTGTTAACCTAAGGTTATTTATCTTCTAGAAAAGCTGATAAATTAAAACAATATGAACCGACTGATGTAGCAAAACTAAAAGAAAGAAAACACTCAGACTTTACTAAACCTTTAAATCCTAAAAGTTTAAGTAATTCACAAAATTCACAACATACTTCTTCTGATGAACCAGTACCATTAAAACAACCTCAAATTATGGTAAGAGATTCTATTCTTAAAAAAGATATTCAATTAATTGATGAGAATGAAAAATTAGATTCTATAAGTGAAATACCAACGGTTATTCATAATGATGAAGACCAAAAACAAATGGATATTGTTTCAACAGAACAAAAAGGGAAAACAACATCTTCAGTACCGTTAGTCGATAATAAAGGTTCTGAAGAAATGGAAGTTGTGGACATTGCAAGAAACGAAATTTCATCAACTCCATTTTCATCACAAAATATTAAATCAACTCCAGAATTTACTATTGGAATAAAATCAAGAGGTTTAGAAAAAAAACAGCGATTTACTCGTGTTAGTGAATTAAATAGTTCAAAAACAAAGAAAAATCTTGCTCAAGAAGAATATGATGAAAGAGAATTATCATATATTTCTTCATTAATTAAAGAAGATGACAAGTCACATCTCGAAAGTATTATTGAAGAAGAAACAAAAAAAAGTCCAGAAACAAATAAGAAAGAAATTATGAGTCAAAAAGTAAGTTGGATGAGTCAAAGATTAAAGAATCAAAAAAAGAATGCAAATGAAACTAGTGAAATCAAAAGTGGAAGTCAAAAACGAGATACACAATACACGAGTTCAGATGAACTTAAACAAAATGATGAACCAAAAAAAATTATTGAAAAAGATGAAGCTGTTCCAGTCAAATATGAAGAGAGTTCAGCAGCAAGTCTTGAAGTAGTTGAAAGTCTCGCTGCTTTAACTAAAGGAAAGAAAAAAGAAGAACCAAAAAAGGTAGTTAAAATGGAAGAAACTAGTGAAGTATTAGGGCAAGAAGGTAAAGATATAAAAGATGGAGAAACAATTAGAGAAAAAAGAGAGAAAGAAAAAGAATCAAAAAATCAAGAACGAAAGAAAATTATTCAAGAAATAAAAGATACTATTAATATTTTAGATAAAAAGGTGAGTGCAATTAATGTAAAGAAAGAAGAAATTGAACAAGAAACAAAAAATAAAATTACCTTACAAATGAGCCAAAAAGTCCCAAGTCTTGGTTCACTTAATTCAAGTCAATTATTAAAAAATTCTACAAACCAAAGTGGGGAAAAAAAAATGGAAGAAATTGTAGACAAAGAGGCAATGAGAAAAAGTTTAAATCAATTAGACAATCTTTTATCTTCTCAAATTGATGATGTGGCTGGTGCAGCAGATCTTGTTGCTATGCCATTACCTGAAGATGAACAAGAGGAAATTGTTAAGGAACTTTCTAAAGAAATTGATAAAGAAAAAGAGAAAAAACCAAAATTAAAAGAAGACAATAAAGAGAAAGGAAAAAAGAAAGGAATTCTTGAAAGAGAAAAAGAGTTAATGAAAGATAGTGAAAATAAAACAAAGAAAGGACTAAGTGGTACAAAGCAAATGAGAAAGAGTCTACTAAAGAAAGATGAACCAGAAGAAAAGAAAAATATTAGTAAGGCAATGAAAGAAATTAAAAATGAAGTGTTAGGAAAGAAAGAGAAGAGGATCAAAGAAAAAATGACAAATGAAATTGATAAAGAAAAACCTGTAAAAGATGAGATAAAATTAAAAGAAGGTAATGAAAATAACAATGGGTTATCAGGCATTTCTGATATTGTAGGAAGTCAGCCAGTTAAAAGCACACCCGAGTGGGAAGAAAAACCTATTGATAAATGGAAAAAAACTACTACTCAAGAGATAAGTGAACCTAAAGAAAAAAAAGGCAGAAAAAGTTCAAGGGCAGAAAGTGAAAAGAAATTTAAAACACAAGAAGATACTTCTACAAGTAAATTAAAGTCAACATTTTCACCATATAATCCTTCACAAACTCAGAAAGAAAAACATACACAAAAAGGACGTAAAGAAAAAAAGATTAAAATAATCACAGAAGAAAATCAGCCAAAGTACCAACAATTGTTAAATATTATTAAAGCAAGTTCTGAGCCAGGAGAGGAGTTCTTTGATATAGAAAATGATAAAAGAAATGAAAAAATAATTGTTGTCCAAGGTAAAACTGAAGAAACTTTTGTTGACCAATACCAAAGTGGAAGAAGAGTATTACGATATCAAAATATTAAAGGAAGAAAAAGAACATATCCAATATGGAGAAGAGTTAATTACTATGACTATTCATGGGGAATGACAATTAATGATTTTCCAGAATTAAAAAGAGAGGAAGAACAATGGGAAGAACAATTTTATGATGAACAAGGTTATTAATAAAATAAGATAATTAAATTGAATGATTTGTTTGTCTAATAATAATATTATTATTAAAGTACTAATGAAATAATCTATTTTATTTATAAGAGAAGTAAAGTAATATATATGAATACACTGGAACAAAAAGAAAGTTTATGGATATTATATTACATTCATCTTAAGAGGATATTATGTAAACCCTTATAATTGATAAATAGGTTCAGTCTTAAAAGTTTCTTTTTAAAATTTCTTAATAAACGGTATTATATGATTATTTCTAATTCATCCTTTTTTGTTTCTTATTAGAATAATTATAAGGATTAAAAACAAGTGTAAATTAAAAGTGTTTATTGATTTTTTTAATTTACTTTTAGAAAGTTAATGTCTCAGCGAAAACAAATATTTTTTATTCTATCATAATTACTCATGTGTCATATCTAATTTTTGTTTAAACCGGTATGGAATATTTCTTTTAAAAACAGTTTTATTGTCGAATAAATAATGAAAAAGAACTTAAAAAAAGGAACTTAAACTTAAATTCAATAAAGTCTCATCATGGCACAACAACTTTTAGATGACTTAAAAATTTGTTTAAATCAAGACATTAACGATAAAAATGTTATTTCTGATATTAGAAATATTATTAAATTACTTGTAAAACAAACACGACAAGCATATAGCCAAAAGGATTTTTATCTTATAGATGATATAACGAAAACAGTAATTCAGTTTGGTACGTTATTTAGGTGTTATTTTAATATTTATTTCTAATATTCTTTAGAACAATTTCAATAATGAAAGAACGAATTATTCTTGTAATTGGGTATATTGTAGGTATTTTCTATCATGCACGTAATTACAAAGAAGCTATTGACTGTGTATCATCTTATTTCAATAAAATAGACTATAATTTATTTATTAATGAAAGAGACCGTGGAATATTTGGATATTGTTATGGATTAATTTCAGTTAAAATAGGAAATTACAAAGGAGCAGCAGAAGCTTTAGAAAAGGCATATCTTGTTGCAAATGATAAATTTAAGAAACAAATTTTAATGTATCTCGTTCCATTGAAATTACGTTGTGGAATGTATCTTCCAATGGAAGAAATGAAAAAGTATGGAAATAAGATATTAATTGATTTATCAAATGCAGTCAATAGAGGTGATGTTAGTTTGTATGAGAAAGTTATTAATAAATATGATTTAGAATTTGTTCAAATTGGAATATTAGAATTGGTTGAAACATTACGCTTAATTGTTTATCGTAATCTTTTAGAAATTATCTTTACAACAAAGAAAACAACAAAACTTCACCTTCAGGTTATTATTGACACATTAATATCTTTAGGTGTAACAGAAATTTCATTGGTTGATATAGCAAATATATTAACAAATATGGCATTAAATGGTATTTTAATTGGGGCAGTTTATATTGGAATGAAAGCTATTGCTGCTTCACCGACAAACCCATTAAGATTTTATCAATATTAATTTAAAAAAAAATGATTAGTTTTTAAAAGTTATGTTTTAAACTGGAGGCTTGAATAAGCAAATATTTTTTATAGTTGTAAAAGAGAAGAGTTTATTAATTTATCATTGGTTTTAATTCTTATATGAGTAAGACTTGATTTTTTGAATAACACTAACACAGAAAATACTGTTACATTTCTTACTGTATTTTTATTTAAATTAATGCATCATATAAATTTTACACTACTACATCACTTTTATACACAACTCCAATATGTAATACTTAAGTTAAGATTCTTTCATTTTGAAGTTTTTAAAATTTGACGTTCAATAGCGAGTTTCTATAATATATTAATTTAGCTTCCTAATAAGCAGCTATACAATTAGTCATGAAAATAAGTGTTTTTGAATGTAAATGGTTTGTATATAATTTTTTATAATGGTATTGGGGCAAAATATTTTGAACTTATAGAATAATTTATTTTATAATTTTTTACTCCTAAAAAAATACAAAAGTAAGATAAATACAAGAATTATAAACACTTATGTCTGTTTATCTTTTATAATAACTTGTATACAATTTATATGATATATCAATGCAAAAGATGAGCCATTAGATTCAATATAACTACATAGTTTTATTCTTATCTTTTTTTATTTACTCTTTTTGAAACTGAAGGTAGCATGTCTGAAACATCACACAAACACTAATATAATTCAAGCATCGACTCTC